TTATAAAGGAGGCCACAGATCTGGACGTTGGTCATTACACCTGCAGAGAGTTCGAGTCAGTACGACAAGTATCACAATCTGGGGTTTTTCTGTCTGTTGTTCACAGTAAGTGTTTCCACCATGACGTTTTTTAGCTCAAAGTTTCATATTACACGAAAAAACGCTTTTTTTTAAAACTAATTTTACTTTTTATGTGCTTCTGTCTCATTATCTTCACCAGTGACTGAACACCAGAACAAAGATTGGGACACTTTGTTCTGCTCTGTGCTGGAACATGGAGGCTGTGAACACAGTGTGGAGTGGCTGCAAGAGGATGGAGATAAAATGTCCTCAGATGTGAGGACAGAATCATATTCCTGCTCTGCCGCGCTGACATTTCCAACATCTGACCTGAGTCAGAAGTCAGACGTATTTAGGTGTAAGGTGACAAATGTTATTACTAAAGAAGAGAAGCTGTTTCCCTTCAGTTTGAGTCCTCAAGCGAAGAAAAGGAACATCTCCATCTTCACCGGTGATTGAACTTATGGAACCAAATAAATGAAAGCAAATAAGTCAAACTGCTCACATTTTCCCATTTTATTTCTCCAGATGAGTTCACGACCACATCGCCATCAACAGTAACAGAAACCCAAGGTGAAACTTCAGTGGGCCCGCCACACATCCACCCACAGCAGCTGAAATTAGCTGAAATTCCAGTTCTCCCTCCAGGTTGGTCGTGGTGGTTTGTTCTTCTGCCCGTTGTCTTGGCGGCTCTCTCAACAACCGTGGTGGTGTTCATCGTGTGGAGGAGAACCAAAGCGGAGAACAACGGTGATCAGAACGTGGCAACTTTACCAGTGATGGGAAACAACCCCACGATCGCGACCAGAATTGGTTGTTTTTTATTCGAGCAAAGGCAGGACGTTAAACATAACTATTTTCTATTTTCAGGAAATGGAAGGGAGATGGACAAAAGCAGGGTGAGTCAAAACACTGAGTGATCATGATATTAAAAAACAACTCTAGGAAAGCCAAAGTTCAGCTTTTTGTTACCCTGAGCAGGCGGATCTTCTTTATTAAAAGATCAAAAGGTGGAAGTTTATTTCTTTCTGTTGACATGTGGGGGTGTCTTTTGTCCAGGCCGATCCTGAGGACGGAGTCACTTACGCGTCCATCAGAAACACCAAGGAAACCAAGAGAAACGCCCAGGTGAGTCTTTGAACGCATCACGGCTGTGCAGGAGCAACAGCAGGGCTCTGAAAACTTCCAGCTCGTTTTCCATCATTCAACAAATGATTAAAAGAGCATCAGATGATTCTAACTCCATATGTCGTCTTTTTTTTATAAACTTTTTTTTTCACTAACCCGTGATTAGAAAAATCACTTGTTTTCGAATTAAGGTAATCAAAGGAGCCCAAGACTATGAAATCAAGACAGTGACTTTTCTTTTAGTCCAGGAAGAGTGTTTTCAGTGGTCCTTGTCTGCTTGAATAATTAAAGCTTGTGTTGTCGTGCTTTCTTCCAGGTTTGTGACACAGTGATCTACAGCACTTTGAGAGCTCCATCTTCTGATCCAGTTTAAACAAATCCAAACTCCTACTGTCTAAAAAGTCAAGACACAGCCTTCCCGAGCTTTGCATCCGCTTTTTGTTTGTTTTTGTTTTTTTGTCACTGTGCATCCTCTTATCAGCTATTGATATAGCCTGTTTTAAATCCAGTAAAGGAACAATGCTTTAAATTCTTAATATAACTTTACATTTTCTCCCTTTATAAGCTCCCATTCATTCATGTGTCTTTTATATTTAGAGGTGCTTGTTTGTCGCCAGTTTTTTATAGAGATAAAGGAATAAAGATAAAGGAAATAATTACAGATTATAACAGCTTTACACACAAAAAAAAAACTTTAATAAATGAGCTTTATTTTATTTCTGTAAGACACTTCATGAAACTAAGAAACCCTTTGCAGTTTCAACTGAATTTAAGTAAATTACATTATTTTGGACCTTTTTTCTGACTTTTTTATGTGATACAAAAAAGAAGCTGCCGAGGTGAGCTCAGAAGTACATTTTAAGAAGGTAAATAATCCATTTTGGGATATTTGAAAACATTTATTCTGAAAGAAATTTAACGTCAAACATGCAGCCAGAACTAATTTACTCAAAACAAACTTCTTAGACCTGTTCTCGTTTTTATTGTATTCTACGTCCTACCAGAGAGTGGCACCAGAGGTCCTTACACATGCAGTAGTCATGCCTGTAAGTCCAATCTGTACCCAGAATTATGCACCTACCCATGCACAGTGTACATGGAACTGACGACCATCTCAGTTTACAGACTTTTGGTGCAATTTAAAAGCCTTTTTATTGTTTTAGGCGCAAAATCCTGAAGAACTCAGGTACGATTTCATCACTCTGCTTAAATACATGCCCTGAGGTCATGCAAAAAATTCACTGTGAATGTTAGAGTGCTCTCAATAATATATTTAGTGAATCTGGTTATTATAGTTTTGCTCAAAGATGCACAAAGAGCTTGTTAGACAAAAAAATAAAAGATGGACGGAGTTAAAAGATGCCTTTGCCAGATGTACAGTGCACTTTTGTGTTCACCAAATGTAGGTAAATAATCATAAAAACCTATCAAATAAGGCCACAGTTTGATGTGTAGAGAAAAGAAATGTAAATAAAATTCATGTAAATCTGATATAATGGGATTTTTGTGTGCGTGCATGCGTGCGTGCGTGTGTGCGTGTGTGTGTGCGTGTGTGTGTGTGAGTGTGTGTGTGTGTGTGGACGGTCCCCAGTCAGTCTAACGCAGACGCACCCAAACAGACATTAGCCGCAGTAATTAGTGTGTGAGCTGAGCATGAAGAAATTGCAGTTGGGGGCGAAGTGCTGAAGCGGTTAAGGACAAAAGGCTGTCAGACAAAGTGATTCTGCTTCGCTGACGCTCCCCAACACGACACATTCCACACACCAGCGCCCCGTCTCCGACACATGACCAGGAGTGGACCGGTTATCAAATCAAACATAAGTGTGGATTGACTCATAAAGTCGCCTGACTGCTTTGGAAAAGAGCAGCCCGGGTCTGTTTTGTGAGCCGTTAATCACCAATTCTGAGCCCGTTTCTGCCCATTCACACACTGATTACAGACAACACGCTCCATTTCAGACACACAAAAGAAATGTTTCGTTCAAAAGACACAAATTCAGAGTGTTTTTTCCCCCCTCTGAAATATCATTCATCCGGTTTTATCTGCATTTTACAGTAAAAAAAAGTTCTCTGTCATGCAAATTCTCGACAGGGATCACCTCCACAAACCCAACTAACACCCATGAAAAAGAGTAATTACATCATTGAGCCTCCAAATGGCCTAATCCTTCTTTTTTTTTAAAACCACCATATACTACATGACCCACTTTGATGGCCAATCAGGACGCGGTGAAGATCTCCTGAGCCAATGGGAGGCTTGGGGCCACCCACCTGCATGCATAATAATAGGAGGCAGAAAAATAACTGTGGGGAGTAAACTTGGGGAAGCTGCAGCTTGCTCGGTGTGCTTTGGAGATAACTTTGCAAAACCCCTCACCATCATGGACGCCTTCTGTGCTACCTGGAAACTGGTCGACAGCGAGAACTTTGACGAGTACATGAAAGCGCTTGGTGAGTAAAAGCCTCTTTTTCAAATTGATTTGCGTACAAAATCAGGACAAACCTTCAAGAAACAAAGGGACGATGGGATGGAGGTCAGGTTTTTTCACCTCTGTCCGTCTCTCAGGTGTGGGCTTCGCCACCCGGCAGGTGGGGAACGTGACCAAGCCCACCGTGGTCATCTGCCAGGAGGGCGACAAGGTGGTGATCCGCACCCAGAGCACCTTCAAAAACACGGAGATCGCCTTCAAGCTGGGGGAGGAATTCGACGAGACCACGGCCGACGACAGGAACTGCAAAGTAGGTCCACCCATGAGTGAGCAGAAGACTGAAAAGGCACTTTTTTAAGTTAAACATCCATTCCACAGACACTGGGATTCCATAAATAAGACATTTAAATTGCTTTCCATCAGTCTGAACAGCCAATGACACAAAATAACACTAAAGAAGACAATTATTCATGTGAGAAAAACTGAGTTTTGCTTGGTGAGCAACACATGACAAGAAGTTTTTTCCCTGTTCAGTCCACAGTGTCCCTGGATGGAGACAAGCTGGTCCACGTCCAGAAGTGGGACGGCAAAGAGACCAAGTTTGTCCGAGAGATCAAGGACGGCAAGCTGGTCATGGTAAGACAAAGGGACGCAGCATTCCTCCCTGTCCTGTCCGACTTCATCACAAGTCAAGATTTATACCAACAGAACTCAATATTTCAATTAGAATGTGGTCAGAATGATTAACCCAGACACGACATCCTCAATTGTCACATTTACAGAGCGATTGTGTTTCATTTTCCCACCGAAAATAGGACAGATTTATCCATTTTCTGTACTCGCCTAATCCAAATCAGGGTCGGGGGGGCTGGAGCTATACCAGCTGTCACAGGGCGTGGGGTGGGGCACACTCTGGATAATTCATGGGGGGGAAAAAAGAGAAAAATATTAATAGAAATATCATCAGAAACAAATAGATTACACACAGAATGACAAATTGCTTTTCCAGTCACAGTGTGTACGTCAGTAATTCTAGAAAAAGTCCAATAAGGGCTCATGTAGGCGTCAATACATGCAAAGGAGTGTTAAATCCTCTTGTTTTTGTTTGAAAAATTAACAATAATTATTTCTCTCTCCTCCAGAATTTGACCTTTGAAGATATCCATTCGGTGCGTACATACGAGAAGGCATGAGTGCTCAGACCAACAGCATCCCGAAACCGGCCAATAAGTGTTGATTTTCTAATTATTGTGGACTGTATGCTACTCTTTGCACTTCATCCTCCTCCACCTGTACAAGGCATGCAAGCTGCACATGTTTTGTAAGATTTTTTTTTTATATGAATACGTCTCTTTCATGGCGGATGGTTTGTCTTTACAATCCTATGTGAGCATGAAATGAACATTAAAAAAAAATGCAGAAAGTGAATTGTGGTTTCTTCCTTGCTGTACCTTTGACCATTGAGAAAACTCAGTTCTATGATCTATGCTCAATATAACACCAGATTCAAGGTGTTTACTCTGCATGCTATTATGGGCATTCTTTGATTAATCATTAATTCATTAATAAGTAACAGCCAAGAGGAAGGAAACTGACATATTTGGGGTATTTGGTAGTTTAAGAGGGGGTTGCATGAGTCACAATGTGTATCTTTTGCCATTATTTATTAAGATTTAAAGCATTTTGTATGCCTCTTGTTGCGTGCATAGTGTCAAAACGACAGGCAAAGCCTAATTTTTGTAAGTTGTGTGTGTAAAATTAATTAAGAAACAAGAACATTGGTGGCTAGGTTAAATGAAATATCTATCTATCTATATATATATTATAATTGTGTGAATTTAAAAACGATTAATCAAAATCAGTTAAATGTAAATGTTTGTGCCCTTTATCCAGAAAACCTTCAGGATCTGGTTATTATGGACACAGATTACATGTTAAATTTCAATATTTCACTAGTTATATTGCAGTGACAGAGTTACAGGCTTTAGTAGCTGCCTATTTATTTCCCGGATATATTAGTGTGTATGTGAATGGGTGAATAAGGTGCATTAACTTAAAGCACTTTGTAGAAAGGCGCTTTATGGAGTTCAGTCCGTTTAATTTTATTAGTTACGGGCAGGTCTGCCACATCCAAGATGGCGGACTCGTTGACGTATCGCTGCAACGGACGAATAACGAGCTACCGGGGGCCGGAGGGGTGGGTTCTATCTATCTATCTATCTATCTATCTATCTATCTATCTATCTATCTATC